TAAAATGCACATACGAATACACATTTGTTTGCATCTCTAACCAGGTGTAATCTTGAATACGAGTGGACGTTGCTTAGCATAGCATTGACTACATGCATAAAACGTTGTGTAGTATATGTGCAGCATATACAGTATTGCAGTATACATATTACAGTAAGGGATGGACAGAAGGGCAAATAATATCGGTCTGTGACTGTGATACAGACTGGGACAAGGTATGGAAAACCAACAATTTGGACAACAGACCATTGTTTGGGTCTTTTAATTGTAAATATGATTCAAATAGCTTAACCTAGATTTCGATATCCTTCGAATGTACATTTGGTTGAAACTGGAAAATATACATTAATCCCGAGACAAGAACGAATGTTTACATATAATTCAAAAGTATGACAGCACGAGTATCCATTTTGTCTTTTGTCTTCTACCCGTCCCTACTAGACGAACAACTGGTCTCTGAAATAAACATATTTTACAGAAAAAAAGTTCATAGTAAAAAAGAGAAATATAATAAAAAGGAGCCCTGAGACATTCTCCTGAAGCTGTGGAAATCTAGACTTGCCACATACTGCGATCTTTCACAATAATCTCTCTGGCTATCAGATTGAGGGTACTTTTGAAACATAACTGGTATTTCAATTATTGTATTTATACAGTAACATTCTTCAAACGTTCTCCACATACGTTCGTCAGATACATCGCGCACTACCCCTTTCTCTTTTGATCTCTCAAACGACTGTTACAAGTTCGGAGAATCCTGGTCAAAGTTGAAACGTCTTAAGACTATACCCTACTATTCTGTAACATGCACATTGTACCTAAAATGGGTAGAGCTTCCGTTCGGGGGAATATCAGAAGGACAGCGATACACTTGTCTCCAATGTTGTAGAAGACACTCCACTTACTTAGGAAAACAATAACCCAATGAGATATTGCATTCATGTCGGATTCAATTTTTTCGGCCCCTATCAGATGTGAACTTGAACATGCGAGGTCTGCGTCTATGTCAGACTAAAGGTCTACGAGTTGTTTAGCAGCACTGGGGCGTAAAAGTCATATAGGCCTGCTCCAAACAACGGAATATATATCTTTTGAGAAGGACTTCTCCGACGGGTAAAGGTACAGCAATGCAACATTACGAAAAATCTTTGTTTTCACTATTTTTCATTTCATGTCTCACAGAATATATAATTTGATGGGCGAGAGTTTTTAATATCGTTCTAACTTAGTCAAAATGAGCTGAAATTTGTGTCATGATGCTTATAAACATACACTCATTCATTTACAACCTCCAAAACATGAATTCTGAGCAAACTTAAACATTCTCGCCCATGGGCCGGCCCATGGGCGAGCGAGTTTAAATCTAAAGTTTTCGCAATTTCCTTTTTTCATTTTGTCATCCTTGGCATATATTCATAACAACTGCATGTTTCATTTGGTCAAACCACTTGTCAGAAAGTACCCACAGTGCGGAGAGTTTCTGGACTTTTGTGAGTCCAGAATATAATTGTGACGTGTTAATGACATTTGTTATACTGTTAACACAGCGATGGCTAACAGGTGGCAAAGTCTTGCCGCCATCAGTAACAAACAGATACAAAATATTCATTTAATGTTTGAGCTTTATCCAAATCTGTAAAAACTGAAGGTATCCCAGAATCATCAGTGACAAGAAGGGGAGTGGGCACCGATGAAGTACTAACCACCTGATTGAGTAGACTGAGGTGATAAATAGTTATCAAAATTAGATTAAAAGTTTCCCTTGGCTATTCTTTTCAGATTATTTACTTTATTCCTTTGCTTTTTGTATTTAAATAGCTCAGAAGTATTCAGAGATCGAAATGCTTTTTTCCTTAGACATTCTCTTTTCTTTTAAGTATGTTACGAGGGGCGTTGAAAAAGTAGTCAAACTAACTATATTCTCGATGTCCAATGTTTGAAAAGAAGCTTCCATTTTATTTTGAAGGAATCATTAGCAAAGTCATATCCAAAATTTCATGTGGGTAATGTGGTTAACGAGATATTAGTCATCACAACATTGGGGTATTATGTTTCTTGCAAATTTGCAGAAAATGGAAAACGATCTCCCATTTGGTATCTAGTAATAGTAATAGTCCGCTTATATGGCGTTCACATCCAGGCACATTGCCTGCTCACGGCGCTACGTACCTTACTATCCCCGATCATAGGACACTATCGTAGTTTCCGATACTTTTTCAACTCCCTGGGGACTGTACAGCCATGCTGCCTGTTAGGCGCAATGAACTAAACACTCACATTGCCAGCACATACTCACGGGTACCCATTTTACAGCTCGGTGAACTGAGACAGTGTAGATCTAAGTATCTTGTCCAAGGATACTACGCAAATGTGCCCATCTCGGGAACCGAACCTCGGTGCCTCCTCGAAACCGGGCCTTCAGCGTGATAGGCAGACGTCTTACCACTGCACTATTGCGCTATCCCTTGGATAATGGTATACCCTCAGATAGTATCATATAAAATATGTTCAGCATATATTGGATGACTTCCCGTCATCATCAACATTCAAAGATTTGGATTGCTTGATTTACATTTAGACGGGGACTGGGTTTTTTAGGACACCCTCATTTTAAATTTTCAAAAACATTGTGTCCAGATATACAACATATTGAGAGCTGACACTTGTGTGACCATTCAGTATTTAGTTTGAACCCTTGACACCATGTATGAATAAGTGAAAACTTTAGGATAAGTCAACTGAAAGGGGGTGGGTAGTGTCTCCAAAACAAGCCCTTTCAGTAAACATGAAGGGGAGTCACTTGAACAAGCGATTATAGTTTAAAATTGCTTTTTTGTGCAGTTTGATATCTAAGTTTGACTTTTACCAACATACAACATGTTTTTTTGCATATTTTGTTTCAATTGGTGTAGGGGGATTCCCGCCAATACACCTTGATATAAAATTGGATCAAAATCTATTAATTCTTTCCTAAGTTCGCGGCTACCAAGCTTGGCATGTGCAAAACTGTTACACCTTTGCTGTAACCTTTAAAATGACCCCAAGTTCACTAAATTCAAGAGGTGTCGGTAAATCTCGGCAGTAAACCTTGGTACCAAATTTGAACAAAATCCATCATTTCTTTCTCGAGTTCTTTCAGTAAACCGAAGGGGGAGTCATTTGAACAAGCGATTGTAGTTTCAAATTGCCTTTTTGTGCAGTTTAATATCTAAGTTTGATTCTTGCCGACCTCTACCAATCTCAAACATAGAAAAATGTTTCTTGCATATTTTGTTTCCTGAAGTTTAATTTGTGATGCATTTCATTGCTAGTTAGCTAGGCTTTTCCATTTGTCCGAACCACAACATACGGAGAAAGATCATTTAGCAGACCGGGTGCTGTACTCTGGAATTGATTACCTGAAAATGTCAGAAAATCGGAAAATATCAACAGTTTCCGATCTTGTCGCAAAACCATCCTCTTCAAACGAGCATTCGACTAAGTGCACATGAGCAGGACTCTGGATCTGTAGCGCTATACAAATGTCTAATTTGATTTGATATACCCGTAAGAAACTCTGCCCCACCCCACCCCACTTTACATTTATACATATCAAAACCTCAAAAGATATTTGCGAAAAGACATGATACAGAGGACAGTAAGAGATTTTATAGCGATTATATATCAGGACGAATATCATTTTCGTCATTTGTCTAAGATCTGTCAGTTCTTTCTTGGGTTATCGCGCTAACAATCTTCATATTGACAAAACCCTCAGATTTTTGCTGTGACCTTGAAAATTATCTCAAGGTCACTCCATTTCACTTGTGTCGGTGAATCTCGCCAATATACCATGGTACCAAATTTGAACAAAATCCATCATTTCTTTCTTGAGTTATCGCCCTTACAAGCTTATTTGATGTATGAAATGCAACGAAAAACAAACACCCGCGTATTTACGAGTGATTAAAACTGTTATTACAATTTACGTAAATATTTATTACATTTTACCGCAACGAAAATTATTACAATTTACGTCAATTTTTATTACAATTTGCGTATTACAATTTACGTCAATTTTTATTACAATTTACGTTTTTATTACAATTTACGTCAAGTTTATTACAAATTGCTGCAAGTATTACAAATTGTGTTTTTATTACAATTTACGTCGTAACACTGCATCCTCCGGAATTCTCTTTCAGAAGAGTTGCAAAGAGCGCCAAGTCTTGATGTTTTCAAGCCAGACCTAAAATCCCCGCTCTTCAAGAAATACTACGACTAGTGAAGTAGTCAAATCTGTAGCGCTATGAGCATAACTTCTGGCGTGGTGTTTAGCATTACAAATGGACTCATCATTATTATTATCATTATCATGTTTGACGGATATATTGCTTAGCGGGATATTGGGATTTAAAGTGACAGGTACTATTACTGATAAATGTCGCATACAACACATTCACGAAGCCCGATTGCTATATCTTGTCATAAGTGACAAATAGCTTAGATTGTTTGTGATTCTACTTGTGCACTCATTTATGACACATAGATACTTGTGCATAACATTCTCATTTACTTATATGCACATAACGATGTGTGATGGATGTGGTACTCTCTGATATTAATTGTTTATAAAACAAAAATTTAATGATTTCGTATGTAAATGTTTACTGTATTTTACCCTTGAAGGGACAACGTATTCCAATTGCGTAGATCGATGCGCAAAGTTGTTATATACAGTCCCCGCAGCTATGTAAGTCTTAGGCGGATCCAGAAGAAGGGGGTCCTGTAGGTTTACTAAGTGCCCATTGAAACTCTCTCGGGGAGAATATAGTGTGCACCCCCACTTTACCAAGCACCCCACCCCCTCCCTTTCTAAAAAGCTGTATCCGCTCCTGGTAACTGTAATATTAATCAATGCGGCGTTAAGCAACATAAAAACATATTTTACTACATTTGAAGAATAGTATTACCTGGTATTTGCTGTAAGTATAAAGTGTCTCCTGTGTAATCTTTTGTAGATCCACAATGCTGAAGCAGGCAGGACTTAATTGTCTCTGTTGATGGTGGTGGCTATGGCTGATGAAACCGAGTCCTCACACCCTCACATTGCAGCTGAACGTTTCTTTGACTCAGGTCGAAGCTCAGCTTCAGGCGGAACGGAGTCGAGAAAGTGTCTTTTCGGAATCAGGTAGGATACAATTCTCCGGGTGAAATAGTATGTTCGCATGTTCCTAAATTTACGTCTGTTTCTGTCCGGTGCCGTCATAGGCTCAGTGAATATCAGTTCTCTGAGATGTTTGTATTTCGTGTATTTGCTTTTGACCACGGTCTTGTGTTATTATAAGTGATATTTGCCCTATTATTCCGCTTAAGATTTGAGTTATGAATAATAGAAGCGACAAAAACCTTTCCACATTCATAAGAAATCTCTGTCAAAAACAGAGTCGATTGTGTATACAATTGTGACTATATCATGAGCAGATATTTGTTTCAACAGTATTACAGCAGCTATATGGTTTTGTTTGTAAATCTGATCTGAACCAGACAATCCAGTGATTGTCACCATGCGATATGATGACCAAGCATGTGTTCATGTGAAATAGTGATGATACCAGGTGTTGGCAAAAAGGTGAGCGTGTCCTGCTCCACCGGTGGCACCCGTCATAAATATATGCTAAGTCTAGTCATTTGTAGGGAATTGTATCGGACATCATCTTTGTCACTGATGCATCAAATTTGGAAATTTTTCTCCACATTACTACCATAAAACTTCTTGAAAGCTTTACTGAGGCCTTGAATGTTGTAACCTTGATGAAACAACTTCTAAGCAAGAGGAGAGCGGATGGTCGCGGGTTCGATCCCCGACCGCGTCATACCAAAAGACGTTAAAATATGGTACTTGTTGGTCCCTGCCTAGCGCTCGGCATTAATGGGTACAACAAGGACTGGTCGGCTCGGAGTCAGTACAATGTGTCTGAGTGGGGTATTCATGCTCCACTGCGGCATGGTATCTCAGTGGGCTAGCGCTATAAACCAGCTTCAGTCTGGGCTAGTACAAGCAGCCGCACATACACATACACACGCATGCATGTCGTCATATGAGCGAAATATTCTCAAGTACGACGTTAAACCCAATTTCACCACACATCTGAGCAAGAGTAGCAGGACGCTCATTGAAGTCCTGATAACAAGAGCACGCCCGATTGTACCTCAAAGGTTGTGAAATGGAAATACCACAGGCTGTTGTTTGAATATTGATCAACATGAAAAGGAGGTTGACTATTGGAACGTTGAAATCAGCCAATTTGTCATACAGTTTTGTGGAAATTCTTTTGTTACTCTGAATCTTTATGCATTGATCTAAATAAGAAACACTTGTCTCCTTAATTTCAGATTCAGGAGGTAAATCAGTGGAAGGCAATTAGCTACTTGATGGTTATTGAACGATATTAAATTATCGATGTACCGGAAGCATAAGTTAAACGTCTTGGCCAAATTACCTTGTTTTGATTTTGCCGACCCAAGCAGAAATTCTGATTCATTTGTATAAGCAAACAGATCTGTAAGGAGGGGAGCACAATTGGTGCCGGTGGGAATGCCTGCTTCTTGGCGAAATGTTTATCCCCAAATTTCACTCAAATGTTATCCAGCATTTCACATATTGTTTTCTCCGTAAACTTCAAGTGACATTTGCTTTCATTTTTGACATTTTTTTTTTGAACCTCTGAAGATAGATATGTAGGTATAACTTCTTATACCACGTGTGTTTACAAAAGCTCCATGAATCAAGGAATGAAGTTTTTCCTTAAGTTTGTTATGTGTGATAGTGGTATACAATGTTGAAAAGTCAAATGTTTTGACAGAACGGAAGTCAGTCCGTTTCTGAGATTCTAAAAATGTAAGCAAATCCTTGAGTATCCACATAATATTAATTCTAAACTTTTCTGTAAATATCGAGAAGTCCTTCCTTGATAATATCAAGGATTATGATTAATCTCTGAGACAGGGATTTGGTGGTACATTTGCTGGAAACAGCAATAAATCTCTCTTTGTTCGGATTTTATGTAGTTTTGTATTCCAGTACAAAAGAGGAATGGACATGTCTTCAAGTTTTAGAGTCAAGCCAAACATTGATAGCACCGTTGAATGGTTTATGCAGATTTCTTCCTCAGTTAACATACTGGCTTTACATGTGGCATTTTTTGATATGACACGTATTTTTCTATTATTATTATGTTTTACAGATTAATGATAGTATGCAGCAGAGAAGGTTTGGGTGATCCTGGCACAGTCAGGTTCATTATCAGCTCAGGGCCCTCGCCCCCTCTACACGCAGCCCAGACAGCGAATGGGACTTCTCCCAGGAAACACTGCCTAGTCGAACCCACCAAGAACTTTCCGGAGAATATGAAGGCTCCCCAACACTGCAGCCTTCTGCATTACCCAGAGTGTTAGAAGGGCTGTGCTCCCGGTGGAGAACCCGGGCACTCTCCTGATCTGCGCCAAGAGATCAGGAAGTACCACACCAAGGGCACCGAGAACAATGGGGAGCCTGACGACAGTGTACTTGGGATGCAAGCGAGACATTTCAAAGGCGAGGTCCGCATATTTATTATGCTTTTCCTGAATCTAGCCCATCACGTAGCTGTCAAAAGGGACAGAAAATTCAATGATATAAATAAATTCATTGGCTTTATCAAAAAGGACAAGATCAGGTTTGTTTGCAGGAATTCGTTTGAGGCTCTGAATGGGCCTATTTAATATTATTATTATGTTTTACAGATTAAAGATAGTATGCAGCAGAGAGGGTTCGGGTGATCCTGGCACAGTCTGGCTGGTATGGCTCATCATCAGTTCAGGGCCCTCGCCCCCTCTACACGCAGCCCAGACAGTGAATGGGACTTCACCCAGGAAACGCTGCCTAGTCGAACCCACCAATAACTTTCCGGAGAATATGAAGGCTCCCCAACACTGCAGTCTTCTGCATTACCCAGAGTGTTAGAAGGGCTGTACTCCCGGTGGAAAATCCGGGCACTCTCCTGATCTGCGCCAAGAGATCAGGAGGTACCAAACCAAGGGCACCGAGAACAATGGGGAGCCTGACGACAGTGTACTTGGGATTATTATTATTATTATTATTATAGGATATTTATAGCGTTTTGATTAAACAATGTATGTAATGATGTTTACATGTAATGGTTATGTTATTTGAGGCCTTGTCAGTTGGAATAACTACAAACTTTTCATGCAGGGCAGCAAGATTTTGGATGGCAGCTGGCTCGGACAGAATGGGTATATTCCAATTCTGTTTCCTCATTTTCAGTTTGTGTATTCTACCAATGACAACATCACGTACCGACTTAACCCACTCTGAAGGACATTCAGGAATGACAATTCAGGAAGACAAGGAATAAATAAATAATAATATCATAACAAAAGCAGGTCGAACCGTGAGAGACTCCATTGAGATCACATGCCCAGTAACGAAATCATGAATGTTTTGTACAGATCCCTTCAACACTCATTGCATTATATAGTTACGAGGATGTGTCTTTTGTAATTATAGTGTCACATTGGTTAACTTTTAGTTGTTATGAGTCACAAAAGTGTAAACCGCTGAGTGTGGATTTGAACTCACACCTTAAACGTAGGCTATGTATTTTACCTGTTGAGAGTGGGCTGAACCTTGTTGCGTGGCTTTGGCTAGAATTCTCTGGAACTGTATAATAGGTATATAAGGGATTTTTTGCTGAGATGTATGGGGGCACTGCTTTGGATTTACTGCCATGTGTCTGCTAACATCGACGGTTGAAGACCCCCTCAAGAGGCCTCTTCTACACTAAACACTCAACAACTGTCCACAATCTTCTGTATACGTTTGTAACTTTTACCAGCGTTACTTTGGTTTGTAGTTGTAACATCCTTGCCTTGATAATGCACTGTTTACTAAAGTGTAATACGGCCACAGTTGCAGTGAGTGGAGATATTTGTGCTGTCAAAATGAATAACCCGTTCACTGGTAATTATGTCTTATACATTTCAGACAGTTATTAATGGAATGCGACATATGCTAGTACAAATGTTATACCTGGGAAGGTTTATGGATCAAATGGACTTTTGTACAATAGGTTACAAATACTTGCCATACAGTTTTACAATACAGAACATTAATGCAAAAGAACATCCGTCTTGACTATCCTCAGAAATAAATTACCTTTGGTATGAAAGGAAATATAGCTGTGATTGTATGAATGGGTCACTAAAAATCAATGAAAAATAGGGTGAATATGTCATGCCTTACCTATAGCACCCATCTTATAGTTTCTTTTAGCCTGACGTAGCACAACTCAGGTGCCTCCTGGATGCTGAGATCGACTTCATTATAATATAAGCCTCTTTGGATTTTTTGGGCAACATGTGGCACATTGCAAGCGTCAGTAAAACTTTCAAGTTGATTTGTTTCGTAGTTTCACAATTGTCGATACAAACGTATAAAACTGTTTACATGTTTTGAATATCACGTTCCTCTACTCTCCCAAAATAGAAACGCATAGGTGATATTGATATATAACATTTCGAATACTTTTCAAAATTATTCTTTGATTGTTAAATTTCGCCATTATAATGCTGGTTTGTGTACATGGAACGAATACACAGGCCCAAAACGCATCTTTGGAAACTTGAATGCACGTTTACTTTCAAAAGTGTCAACTTGCATGAAAATGTCATGGAGAAAAGGAATCGTGAGCAGGGACATTTTACCGCCGTTTTTTCTTTTAGGAGGTCACTGGCATCTTGTATGCAGCGTTATTCCGCGATGTCGCAACTCACTGCTGAAATAGAATTGAAACATTGCCATTGGACTTCTGAATTCTGAGGAGTCTCTCACTCTGTCATTTGCAAGTAACCGCAATGTTCACCAGAGTACCATCGTTTATGGGACCGATACCAAGAAACCAGTTCTACGCAAGATCAGCCTCAAGGATAGGTACTTCATTTGCAGAATCGATCTGTCACAGCAAACAGCCTTGCTTGAGGCGCAAACCATTCCGTAATCTTTTACGAGAAGCTGGTCTTCGAGACAGAATACCTTATTTTGGTCGCAATATAGCTGAAATATTGCATTAAAACATCGAACTAACATACCACTACTATGTGTCGGTCAGTCAGTAAGACAACCCAGTTCACTAAATTTGTTTTACGCAGGATCCACAAAGCGTTCGTAGCGCAACGACATTCGTAAACTATAGAGTTACGCTCGTACGACAGGTCGTAACGTTACGAACGCTTTGTTGATCGGGGACACTGGTCACACTGACACATAAAACTAAAGGACTAAAACGTGTGGACGTTTCCAATCTCACTAAAAAATCGCACTCACAAACAGAGAGTAAGGCGTGTTGAGAGTTACGACAGTGTTGTTTGAATTGTTTGCGTTGCCACAACAAACCATTGTAACTGATCGAAGTAATAAATCATCAGATTGAGTAGTCAAGCAGTCTTGTGTATTCGCTATTATGAATCGTTTGAATGGTATTAGCATCGGCAAGGTTGTAAACATGATATGTTTCCAAAGAGTGAACATTTCCAAGTACTTCAGTGCGGTCTCTTTGATCAACTTAAAGTAATGCCAGTGTCATCTGAGGGCGTGCGACCCAACTTGACTGAAAACAGATATCCTTAGAAAACCTTCTGAGTAGCTTTTAATGATTGCAAAACAGTTAATAAATTACAGTTGTGTTTCTATTTCACTTCAAGTCGCTCGTCCTAAGTCAGCGTGCCCTAAAGTTTATTGTATGCCAAGAAGTCGACTTAAAAAGTACGAATGCACATCGAAATACCCGAATACATCGAGCATACAGAAAGACCTGGGATCCAAATAAACATTACTCCACGATCATGTTTGTTCTGGTTCAAAGAGATCCCAGATGTAAGTCATGGTAGCGTCGCCATAATATACAGTAAAGTTGCCTTTGAAATCTCATCGTTTGAATGCGCAACAGCCAATTCATTACAATGCCTTCATAACAACTGGTCAAAAGCTTCTGTGGCAAGATACATATGATACTGTAACAACAGATCGCACTATTTGAATGCACTTACAGTGCGTTTGAGTCAGAAACGGACCGATGAATTGCAAATTTTATCATTGTACAAAATTGCCACATAAATATAAATAGTACATATGTTTATCATTTACTCATACCCAACAGCTTTCTTATATTTGAAAATGTTCGGACTCCACCAAAAAGTTGTTTAGAAACTATCATCATTGAAAACGCAAAAGTTGGTTATCTGTCGCGGCGGGTGAAACCGCAGAAACGGAACAGCCACTATCTCGTCGTGCACCGGATACACATGCCTGATGAAAAAATGAAGTTGAATGCTGACGTGAAACAGTTGATGATTAAAGTGTACGATTTTTCCGTGCTGAAGCCGAAAGGGGCAAACCATTTTATGCCATTAATAAATTCCGTAAGCGGGCAGCAAAGCTTTAGGAGTATCAGCAAAGGGTGCTGACAAATGTTCTGGAACACAGACATTGTGAGGGTGATGCGAAGCAGGTAGGGGTCGTCAAAAATCACACAAATTAAAACATTTGGACAACTTTCAAAAGAACCTTGTAAGTCAGTCTATCAACAAGCTCTATTCTGAAAACAAATACATGTCGCTGAAAATTTTAAAAAGCATTTGAAGCAAGAACACAACCTCAGAGTATCAAAGTACACACTCTGGCGACTCTTACACTCTTTCGGGTATCGTTATAAGAAAATTTCGGGGAGAATAGGTCAGTACTCTGTGAACGCCCTGATATCGTTCGCTTGAGAAATAATTTTCTCAGGGTTATAAAGAAGAAGCGCGAGGAAGGGTTCGAGCCAGTGTACTTGGACGAGACCTGGGTCAATGCCTCGCACACTGCCAGCAGTCAGTGGGTACCCAATGGGGGTGATAAGGGGTCACGTAGAAAGCTGCCTCTAGGGAAAGGAGAGAGACTAATCATTCTCCATGCTGGTTGCTCCAGCAAAGGCTTTATCAAGGCTGCGACTTGGTATTCAGGGCAAAGTCCACAGATACCAGAGACTACCATTCCGAGATGAATATAGCGGTTTTCCTCGATTGGGTTAAAACAAGTTGGTACCAGCTCTACCAGAGAAGTCTTTTATCGTAATGGACAATGCCCCATACCACAGCGTACAGGGCCCCGACAGTAAAGCCCCGACATCGAACAGTCGAAAAGGTGATATGATATCATGGCTCGACAAATTTCAGATCGCACGGCCTTCAAAGGCAACGAAGCCTCAGCTATAAGTATTTGGGAACTGTTATAGACAATAAGCTCAACTGGAACAAGAATACGGACAAGAATTAAACAGTTAACCGAGACTTACCTGTAAGTTGAAGGTTGACTAAATTCCACCAACCTATGACGTAGGGATTACGTGAGATGTGCGCATGCGTAAACCATCAGTTTTTAACGGAAAATTGATACTAAGTGCATATGGGTGGGTGTGGCGGGCACGTAATCCCTACGTCATAGGTTGGTGGAATTCTAGTCAACCTTCAACTTACAGGTAAGTCTCGGTTAACTGTTTAATTCCACCAACCTATGTCGTCATAGGGATTCCGTGAGATTTTTAGAGTAGTATCATATTTTCACAGCTAATCCAAGAACAAAATATGCACAACACAACAAGTTTTGCACTCAAATAATTGTATTGAGGCTCACAATTATAGGTCAAGTGACAACAACTTCCTAAGTGATACTCTATTCCACATAGCAATGAAGGAGTAACTTAGTGGAAATTTCTCAAAACAGAACTAGGGTAATGCAAACAAACATCTTCTAAACTAGTTAGCTCAATGATAAACATCATAAAACAAGTACAGCATATTGGTCAATAGATGGCAACACTTCAATAACTTAAGTTTTGCTCTTATGAGATTCAAGAACTTGTGTACTAAATTGCTCATCACTGCAGATGGGTTTGTTATAGAACTTCCTGAAAACACAGTCTTTTTTCCACCCAGCAGTGTTTAGTACAGTCTGAATAGGCACACTGTTTTTAAGTGCTGAACTGGTGCTTGCTGATCTCACACTGTGAGCAGTGAATATGTCCATGTTAACACCAGCATTTCTTAACACAGTTTTCGTCCATCTAGCTATAGTGTCCTTGCTGACTCTCTGGTGAGGTTTTTGAAAAGAAATGAGCAAAGCAGTTTCACCATGTCTGATGCCCTTTGTCAGCTCCAGATACAATCTCATAGTACTAACCACACACAGAGTTGGGTCACTGAACCCAACCAGAGTTAGTTCTTGTTGGTGATAACCGGGTCGAGATTGTTTGAGAAGATCACCAAATCGAATCTTCACACTGTTATCAGTTAACTGCACATTTCGTAAATCCACAAAGTGTAAGGATTGTACTCTGTCCTGACAACAATAGTAGTAACATGACTAATCTAAGGGTCTCCTGCTTCAAATTAGGTGACACTTCTATTTTCTGAAGATAGCTTAACACAATATTGACATCCCATGTAACACAGTTCTTTGGTAGCGATGGTCTCAAATTAAATACACCTTTCATGAATCTAACTACTCTGTCATGCTGTCCGAAGGGCATATTGTTGAGTTTGATCACTGATGATAAGGCTGATCTTGCGGTGTTCAATGCTGAGTAACTGAGGCCTTGTTTGTACAGATCAGCCAGAAAAGCTAATCCATTGCTTAAAGATGGTGACATGGGATCCACAGACCTCTCAGTGCAAAATGACATCCACTTGCACAGATAAGTTCCATATTGTTTTTGTGTTGAATCGCGCCATGAGCACAGCATGATGTCCGCAGCTGATCCCGATATTCCTTCGTCTTCCAAGGCTTTCCGGATAATCTGAATGCTATTAGGCGCAGCTTTTTGTGGAGTGGATGCAGAACTTCCGGTTGGTTTACTAGTGTCAGTAGGGACCTTGATTTTGGCAACAATCTCGGACAGTCTGTTGACAGCTCTAGAAGCTTGCTGAACCAGAACTGGGTCCTCCAAAGTGGGGCCACCACAAGACTGTCTGCTTGTTCCCATTGAATCTTCTGAAGAGCACGGCCCAGTAAGCTGAAAGGGCAAAAGATATAGTCATATGAGTCCTTCCACATCAAAGAAAAGGCATCTACTGCCTCGGAGTGGGGATCAGGGTGCCAAGATACATATCTATCAAGTTGGTTATTCAGCCGGGAAGCAAATAAGTCTCGGTTAGGTTTGCCATATATTGTACACAGTGAGTTGAAAACTAATGTATCTAATTTCCATTCCGTAGCAACTGAAAGTTTTCTTGAGCACAAATCCGCCTCAACATTACTTGCACTTGGCAAGTGGGCAGCTGATAGCCAAATATCCCGATCCTTGCACCAAAGCCACATGAGTCTTGCAATGAAGTTACAACCCCATTTCATCCCCATGTTGTTTACATATGTCACAGCTTTGTATTATCCAGCATCAACCTTTATGTGGACATTCCTGTGCACTACACAATGACTGAAGGACTAGCCAAGCAGCGTGTATTTCTAATACGTTAATGTGTTTTCCACTTTCCTGCCTTGACCATAGTCCACCTGTCCTAACACCGTCTGACACTCCTCCCCAACCTGTCTTCGAGGCATCGGATTCTACCGGTTACACTAGGCAGTGGCATGTTGATGGGTTTGGGGTATTTCCCTACATAGTTTGACCACCAAAGTATATCTTCAACACATGTCTCACTGAGTTCAATATGGGAATCAAAGTTCCCACTTGCCTGTTTGAGGGCCCTGTTGTAGAATATCTGTAACCTTTTACAGTACAAAGGGGCATATAGCATTCCATGTGCACTAGCACCAAATTGTCCCACTAGAGATGCCAGGTCTCTGATTGTGAGGTGTTTGGAATTGAGGATATCATGACATCCATTCACTATCTTGTCACATTTTTGCTGTGTAATACTGACTGTCATCCTTTGACTGTCTATAATGAATCCCAAGTATGTGATCTCCTGTGTTGGCACAAGAAAGGACTTGTCAGGATGAACAGTAAATCCTAATTTGTCTAACAATCTCACTGATGACTTCACACATTTTCATCACAATGTTTATAGTCCTCTCCCACAAGAAAGGAATCGTCAATATAGGCAGAGTTTGAGAATCCTTCCTGTCTAAGGGTGGAGAAAACTGCTTTGAGGATCTTTGTGAATATCCTTGGAGCGGATGTAAGTCCATTGGGCAAATACGTAAACTGCCACAATTGTCCCTCCCAAAGGAACTTTAAGTACTTCCTATCTAAAGTATGCACAGGGATGGTAAAATATGCATCTTTTAAATCTACTGATGCCATGTAACAGTTCTGATGCACTAAGTAAAGAGCAGATTGAAAAGTATCCATCTTAAAATGGTGCTTATCAACATGTTCATTCAAATGTCTCAAATTCAAAATAATTCTGAGAGAGCCATCTTTCTTCCTTCTACTGAAAATGTTTGATATATATTCATTCTCTTCATGTGAACATTTTTCAATAATTCCTTTCCCCAACATAATTTGGAGCTCGTTTCTCATATCCCTGAGTTCATTTTCTTTGAATTTGATGGGTTTGGGGATGTGGTACTGCTTTGGCAAAGAAAATTCAGTGATTTCAATTTGAGTGCCTGAGACACACGTTAGGATCCATGGATCCGAGGTAATATCTTGCCAAACTGACAAATGTACCCCAGTCTTCCCTGCTGTGAAGTTATCTGGTGTATTAGCCAAACAATCAATACAGCCTGTGTGCTTTCTCACCTGGGTAGTTACCTCCTGTACGTGTCCTTCTGGCGCCTGGCTAAAAAAGACTGTTGTTGGGCTGTCTTCCCCCGATAGCTTTGTCCCCGTCCACGGGAGGCTTGACTGACAGTGTGACCACCACCAAAGTTCCGGCGGCCACCGCGGGAAAGCTGACCCTCATTTGAGTAGGGGGAATATCGGGTGGCTGTAAAGTTTTTAGTGCCCCCATACAGATTTGTTTTCTGCTTGCTATGGCCAGCAGATAATTTTGACGTTATCTGCTTAGCCTCACTAATGTCCCTGATCTTTTTGTTCAGTTCATCCCCGAAGAGACACTCACTAGTTACAACTGCATTTGGGGCACACAGTTTCTTGAAGTTAAGGGAAGGCTGAGGTCCGGTTTAAAATTTTGCCTTCTTGAAGAATTCATATTTGATAGTGCTGCAATGAGCATCCGCAATGAATCTTTTGCCTTGTTGAGAACTGTTTTGGCATCTAGCTCTCTCTTCGCCACCATGTCCTCCATCACATTGTCCATCAACTGCACTATTGGTATGGTAGCTTTGGCAATCATACCCTGTAGTTGCTGTGCCTTGATGTCTGAAGTACGAGATGTTTTCCTCGCCTCACACCATATCTCCTCATTTACACGAGGTGCAAGGAGGTTTAAACAGTTTTCCGGCCGTTTATACTTAGCGAAAAGCTCTTTCAACTTTTCCTGATTTACCGGTTTTTGTAGCCCATCCCTCACCGATGTAGCAAGACCTTGGTTGACAGGCGGCGATGTATCGTCATCATCACCGATAAACGACCGCATTTCTGCAAACAGATCGTCAATGACATCTGATGCATTTTGGTCATCAACAACTGCTGTGTTGTCATTCACGCACTCAGACACCCACTTGTCGAGACTGTCTAACTCATCACACTCGCTGTTGTCATTATCAGTGACCTCGCCATCTTCAACATGGCTGTCGGTTTGTTTACTTCCGCTCGGCACTATCCGTGTCTGTCCGGAATTAAGCGAAGTCTCGATCTTCTCAAACTGTGTTTTTAATCCACTCAAAAAGACTGAAATACCCTTCATAGTCTCTGTTTGTGCAGCCTGAGTCTCTACAAATGTTGACATAACATCTTTGATCGGCTGCGAGTCATCTGGTTCACTGACTGACTGCAGAGCCTGTGTCTTACTGCAAGGTCTCGCTTGACCTACTTTCCCGACTGCACCACTGGCACTGATACCGATACCATTTCTTATTAGCACCTTCTACATCCATTTCATATTGTCCGTTGTGCTGAAATCTTTCAGCAACGTCAAAAACATTTTGACGAGGTTTACAGTCGACTGCTTCACAGTCACTGATTTCACTCTCAGATGCCATACATGATTCTCTCGCAGTGGGGTCGCCATTTTGAACTCTGGTCTTCAACCCTGACCCTGGCCGCAGCCGTTTGGTCAAATAGTGTAGAAATTCAGCTGGGATTCACCCACTGAGTGCTTTCAAGTCGTTCACGACACCCGCAGGTTATCGCAGAAGCACAGATATTGCAGGTGTGTCAAGTATTCACTTGGACAGCCTCAAATTAATTAGTTGTTCAATGAAGTTTCGTTAATCACCGATGTCTAGCAGAACGCAAACTGATGGTTTACGCATGCGCACATCTCACGGAATCCCTCTGACGACATAGGTTGGTGGAATTCAGGGTTAATCAACAACGTAAAAGAAAAGTCAATGATAATTTTGATATAATATCTATTTGTTTTGCACTGTGATATGAATGTTGTAGAAAATGAATACCATGTTTTCATTATCTGTAATCGATATTTTCTGCTCTGTAATGAATACTTTTGTCCATCAAAAAGTATTGTAAAACTAGATTAACATTGCGACAAATATTAAACACACCTAATGTAAATATATTACGTTTAACATCTATATATTTGCTAAAAATATTTAGCTTAAGAGCTTCTTAATATAATTTTGGTCATGTGACAACGACTGTATACCTTACAATACAATTGTACCATGGGCCAAGTGGCCTAAAATACGGAATAAATTTGATTGATAGGTAGGTAGTGTGTAAAAGTGAAATTATAATTTCATTAGTAAATATAGTAGATGTGATATTCCCACCCTGTTTCCCCACTCTGAATTGCTAGGATTGTTGTGCATTTCTCAGGAATTGTTGCTTGGCTAAGATTCGGTTTCATTCCAGGAACTTTATTGAATTTATGTCAGTCTTAACGGATTTTAAATGACATTACAGTTATGAATTGATCCAACTGATTCAACCAAGTCATAGTTGATAATGCTATATTCTTTGCTTGCAGTTGAATGCTGTGGGTGTGGACCAGAGCGGAGCTGGCCAGGAAGAGGGAGTGTGCTCCACTGGATGACTTTGTGGTCTTCACTGACCCTATCTAGGGTTTTTGTTTGATCTTTGAATTCGCGTTACCTTGGACCTTGAATGTCCCTCTTTGTAGATCATCTTTATGATCTGATTAAATGTTTTTCCTTTGCTCTGTGTTCTTTCTAATTTCTTTGGCCCTTATGAAGAAGGGTTTATGGGTAATTTGCTCTCGCGAGATCTCGCATAGCTAAACTTCGCTACCTTAAATATGGCCTCCTTCCGGATATCATGATAAAGATATCACTATCACAGATACTATGTTTACTTATGAAATTATAATTTCACTTTACATACTACGTACGTGCTTGTGAAATTTCCAAATAAGACATAGAGCGGGTGTCGCGTATTATCGAACTGCTAACACTATACCCCGCCTATTTCCTGTTGCGTTTTATTATCTGAATCAATAAGTAATACTAACAAAGAACCGTTCGAGTGAGAATCATATTCACATACAAAGGCAAAAGCAAATCCTGTTCCCCAATCCTTCTTGCGAGTAGATATTTCACTTCATCAAATTTTCATAATTGTTTTGAACTCTTTGTCGACTCGTCTGAACACCCTCGTCAGGCTATTCGGAAACAGCCATGTCGGGCTATTCCTAACTAACGTTGTGCCATAAACATTTAGTTGTGACGGTAGAGTCATTGCTTCGACGCATTTTTTTGTTTTCAATCGTGTACAAAAGTTTGATAACACTTTCCTCGTTCCTGTTACAGAAATTTGCAAAATTATGAAAAGTTCAGTAACAGGAACGAGGAAAGAGTCCCTTTGATCGATAGTATTTGTAAAGAATGACGTCAAATTGAAATTCTATCCAGGAAGTTAGTGATACAAAATTTGTCAACTTTTCAAAAAAATAAACACTCACATAGGTGCAAATATCTTAACATTTATCTATTGATCGCAAGTGTTTTCACGATTCGTTTGTTTGGGTTTAAACTAACTAAATTGCAACACTTTCCTCATATCGCCAGTTTTGTGCACAAATTGCAGATCTGCAGTACTTACTACCTAATCGATCGTATAACTGACTTGTATGAATGTTCTTTTGAGGGATGGGACGGGTAACCCGGGTTGCCGGGACGGGTGGGTAATGAGTTGGACCCGGGTACTCGTCGAGTTACCCGGTTACCTTGATCATGTGACTAATAAATGAAGACTTAATTGAATGTGTTTATAATTATTATATATATTAACATATATATTTAGATTGTTGTCTTATGTTTGAGATTGTGGACTAAACTAGCAGTGAAAACTCACAGGGTATCAACTGTTGACGAGTAAGCATGTCACGTGTAACATAGGTTGCAAGTACGCCAAGTAGTTAATTGTTTACATGCGAGAAAGACTCAGGAACGCAGACGTCCGGCCTCAAATAGAGTCTGAACAAACCGCAAAAGGTAGACCTATTGTTATCTATTAGGTAACTCGGTTCCAAAACATTTACCAAATTGTACGATGCATTACTTTGGCCAGTTATAACTTAAGGCATTTCAATCTGTGGAACAGAGGACAATCCATCAATCAACGCATTGCAAAACCGTGCTATGAGATTTTACACCATAGTCTAGGCTAGTGAAGTCCGAGTCTAATGAAGAAGTTATTGGTGACATGGGATGGAACCCCTGCAACTAAGTGTAACGACAAGATATATGCTTGATTCGTTACTGGAGGGAATGATGAATGTGGACCAAGAACGTATACAACTCTATGTTTTTATTTGGGAAAATAATCAAGCAAGCACGGAACAGACACAAGCCTTGGCACTCAGCTTCTTACCGGCGAATGAACACATTGGGAATCACCAAAGAAACTCTTTTAAAGAACATCATCTCTGAAAGAGACTGTGAAGAACTATCGTTACAAGCTTTTATAAAAACAAGGGAAAATTCATCACATCTGGAGAAGGCAAAACGGGAATCGGGGAAAAACAAACTCTTGCACTACAGAACACAGGCCCTCGTGCTTTTGCAAGGATTAAAGATTTAAAAATATTGTTTTGAGATGACCCCCGACTCAGGAAATGCTTCACAGTACAATACGTGATGTATTGTATTGTGAAGCATTTCGAGTCGGGCGGTCATCTCAGATTTTTATAGATTTATAAGAAATATTTTATCCTCGCAAAGACACGAGGGCCTGTGCTACAGAATCCATAAATGTATATTCGAAAGAACAGAGGCCTATGTCTCACAGACGCCCCCCTGCTTTGTTCAGGACGGGGTACAGCGCCTCCGCGTATAGAAAACCAGCCGTTATGAATGAACCGAAATTACAGATAGAACATTTCCACTGTTTCACTGAGTTGAATAGGAACAGCATTTTAATGAAATGTCCAGTTTACGACGATTTAAGAGAAGACTTTAACATCAGCAAAGTTTTTCATGCCACGTTCTACCCTCTTATCGAAACCTCGAGAAGTCAGCAGCTCTGAAGATCTTATAAACGTACGTGCCAAAACTGCTTTAAAACCCTTTTAAGACGCCGCCAAACTTTATATAAATAAGTTTAACATTTCATGTTAATATTTTTGCAGCTATATTTTTAAGTTCAATTGTCATTATATTTTACCCATATGCGTCCAATATATTGCTCTGTGATATTTAATTATCAACCGTCTGTCATAACTCCATATATAATATTTACTGTATATTTTTATATGTATTATTATTTATTTTAATGTACATATGGTGAGACGTAAATAAGCAATCTGGGATGATCCTTATGATTTTAAGGGTGGGGGTTACCCATTTTGTTC